CCCCCAATCCCAGATCATGAATGGGATACCTCGACTCATGAGGCTTAAGCTACCTCGATGCATATGCTATCACATGCCCCCTCTGCATAAGCACCGCTCCCAACCCGACAACTCCTCGGGGAAAATGTCTGGGAACTCCCGCACAATTGGGACCTCATCGATCGAACTTGGCCTCCCAGCGGCCACTCGTGTCTCCATCACATAGGCCACAAACCCTCTGCAACCCTGCTGTAAACTCCGTCTCGCCCTAGCAGCCGAACAAAATGCTGACTCAGGATGGGTACCCTCACCGTATACCGTAGGTACTCCCCCACTAGGGTCTCGTATCGTCACCAACTGACGCTCGCAATCTATAACAGCTCCAAATCGACTCAACCAATCCATGCCCACTATAACACACACGTCCCCCATAGCAATCGGGACCAGATCTATCGGGAACTCCACACCGAAGATCTCAAGGATACATCCTCGAATCACATCCGTGGCATACACTGCTCGCTCGTTAGCTATAGAAACTCGCAGAGGTCGACTCATGGCCACTCGACGAATACTGATATGATGACTGAAGGCTAACGACACAAAAGACCGACTCGTTCCCGAGTCAAATAACACTAAGGCAGGTACAAAATTCACAAGAGAAGTACCTACACATAACATAATATAAGCATAATATATCGGAGTTAAATAAATAGAGAGAAGAATACATACCGGCCACAACGTCGGGTGCTGTGCGGACGTCCTCCGCTGTCAACTGGAAAGCTCTCCCACGAGACTTCGGAGCCTCGGCCTTCACTGATCGAAATTCGGTAACCTTAGCAGCAGGTGCAGATCCCTGCGATGTCCCCTGATGCAACTGTGGACACTCGGCCTTCCGATGGCCAGTCTGGTTGCAATGAAAGTAAACCATAAATCCTTTGGGGCAATCCTTGGCGATATGCCCCTCCTTGCCACATTTGTAGCAAGCACCTGATCAACAAGCTCCCTCATGACCCTTGCCGCACTTCCCGCAAGTGTGTCCCTTCTGGCCTCTAGTCCTCGAATTAGCGGGCTTGGCCCGCTTGGCTGCCGGCTGAGACTGAGCCGGCCGCCGATCTCTCCCCTGAGACTCGGCCTCCTCCCTGGCCTGAGTCTCCAACTCGATATCCCGCTTCCGGGCATTTGCCTGAAGCTTAGCAAATGTATGGTACGTCGATTTCGACACGAACTCTCGAATGTCCCTCTTCAGAATGTCCAAATACCGGCTCATCCGTGCCTGCTCAGTAGACACCTGCTCAGGGCAGAACATCGACCTCTCATGAAACTTCCAGGTAACCACAGTAACCGAATCATTACCCTGCTTGAGGGTCAAGAACTCCTGAACCAACCGTTCCCTCTCCACAGGGGGAACACACTCGTCCCTAAACATGGCGGTGAACCTCTCCCAGGTCACCTCAGAAATCTCTGCCAGAGTGAAGCTCGCCATTACGAACTTCCACCAATCCTTCGCTCCCAAGCGAAGCTGGTTCAAAGCGAACCGCACCCTCAAGTGTTCCGGACAAGAACACGTGTAGAAACATCCCTCAATATCAGAGATTCACCTCATCGCCGCAATCGGGTCCTGCATCCCATCGAACTCTGGTGACCTTGTGTTGCTGAACTCCCGAAACAACAACGAGTCACCTCCCTGAGGTTTGGCAGCAGCAATAGCTGTAGTAGCTGCAACCTCAGTCACCGCTGCATACTGCTCATCAAAGGTCTCAATCAGTGTGGTCTTGATGTCCCCACACATCTCTGGAATCTCAGCCCGGATGGCAGCAACCACCTCCTCATGAATCAATCGATGGATCTCCTCGTCACTGACCCCACTGCTCTCAGCTGTGTGTCGTGTCCTAACCATGATGCCTCTGAAATACAACATAAAAATATCAGAGACTCGATCGAGCATACTCGCACTCGATAACGCAACCCTACTCGTCCTCCAATACCCAAAGAATTCTTACTTGGGCTGCTCACTGATCCGGTGTCTTTAGTAGTACGGGCCCTATACTACTGACCACACCGTATCATCATTCACCCCAAGTCCTCCTCCTTGGATCCCGGATCGCAAGTACTCTATTCTCGCTATGCATTGGCTACCTACTCGCTCTCAAGGCATCTCATAGCAGCAGGATTCTCCTAGGCTAAGGCATCACAAATCGGGCCACTCTAGTCCTAATATGAATACCTAGCCTACTCTAGCATGCATAACATAACATAGCATATCTCATAACACATAATGTAAGGGGATTCTGGGGATTCACCGTTCGGGCGCTGAATGACCGTACAAACTGCTCTGCTCGGTTTGTTTCAAAACTCCTTGCTCTTTTAGAAAATTTAGTTTTTATTGTTGAAAATTTCTCAAATCCTCAGTTTGAGTTCAGATACGCCCAAAGGTGCATTCGAGTCCCGCAAACCAAGGCTCTGATACCAACTTGTAACAACGTAATTTTTCAAAACAAATTTTCATTTCTTTAAAACATAATTTCATCCAAAACAAACCATAAAAAAATCCAATGTAACATAGTCATAATACAAAACATGTCAAATCCCAAGATCAAATACATCCAAATCCGCCTGCGTGTGGTGTACGAGTCATGCCGGCGCCTTCCCTCGGTCCTCGCTAGTACCTGAAACACATAACACAACAACTGTAAGCATAAATGCTTAGTGAGTTCCCTAATATACCACTTACACACATACGCCCTTCCAGGCCATGACCTTCCGGTCCATGTGTCCCAGGGGACTTCCGTCCCAATCCGATAAACCTTCCGGTCCTACCCGAATCGACCTTCCGGTCCATAACTCCCTGACCTTCCGGTCTACATCATAGTGCCTTCCGGCCCATAACAGAATGCCTTCCGACCCATATCAAGCATAGCATACATAACGCATACAAAATAGGCAACTAATCACATACAATGCATATATCTTATAGCATACCAGACCTTCCGGTCACACATAGGTACCCTTCCAGGTACAGTATAGTGAGAAGACTCACCTCGAATGATGTCTAAAATCTCACGTGCTCGATATCTATGAATCTCGTAACCTTGACCTAGCCTCGCCTAATCATATCAAATAATCTTTCTAAATTATTAACGACCCTCAAGGCTATACTATATGCCTTTCTAAAATTCCATAGAAGGGTAAAAGGCCATTTTACCCCTACCTGACCCCAAAGTCCACATGTTGACTAAAACCCTAAAAGTTAACAGCAAGCAGTACGCGGGGTGTACCAGCTCCAGTACGCGGGGCGTACTCTTGCACTCCAGAAACGGGGTACGCGACCCCCTACGCGGCGCGTACTAGGATTACGCCCAGTGTAATGCCCAATTTCTTTGTCCAACACATTCAGGTCTTAAACGGTTAAGACTTGCATCCAAACTTCAAATTCGACTCCTATAATATGTCTTAATCCATAAAGTTGAAACCTTTAAGCCTTTGCATGGCTGTAAAGGTCACTTGTGCTCAAAACACCTTTCCTCTTTCCATAATGAGACTATAACTCATGCATGACACAAGATCCACGTCCAAGACTAGATTTTTATGACTCCTCAACACATTATACACTAGAAAAGGTTAGATCTAAGCTTATGGAGACTCTTTGCACATAAAGTCTCCAACTTTGAACCAAAAACCCTAAAAATGGTCCAACAAGCAAAACTTATGAAGAACAAGGAAAGCTTTGAGCTTTTTACCTCAGAAAGGATCTCCAACCACTATAGAATTTGGATCTACACTTGTTCTTCAACTTCTAGCTCCAACAATGGCTCCTTCTTCTCCTTCTTCACCTTGAAAAGATAACTTCAAGCTCAAAAACACACACACAAGCTAAATCAAGAATCTCAGCTCTCCAAGGACTCACTCAAGGGTGTATGGTGGCTAGGGCAAAGGACTACATGTTCCTTTTATAGTGCAAGGCCAGGAATTAGGGTTTGCATCTGGGCCGGTTACGCTTGGCATAACCTTGGGTACACCCAACATACCCGGATGACATGCGTACAAATTAAGTGCGCGAGTGCGCGCGGCGTACACCCTAGTACGCCCAACGTACTCACCAATTCACCTTTCACTTTAAGGGACTAATTAGCCAACTCTCCAAAATAGAAGGGTCATAAAGCTAACCTGGATTTCGGGCTGTTACAGACTACTCCTTGGAGACGGAGGATTAACACCAACACTCATAGAAATCGGAACAAGGGATTGATTAGACACCCTCATAATGTTGAACATCATCATTATGTATCACTAACACATCCCCTGGATCGGAGGGAAGGGAAGATAAGAAGCGCATAAGACCGCGACGCTGCATCACCCACCGTCCAACGACCCCTAAACCATACTCGGGCGCTGGTCTGCTCATCGCCTGCACAACTTTCCTTTTTCTGGAAATCCGGCGAGCGTTGGTTACTATCCCAACTTTGCCATATACCACATCATCAACGGCCGACCCAGTGGGACCAAAAGATGTAGTCACAGGCGTAACAACAGTGTGCGAACCCGGGCGACTCTCCGATGCGGTCGAACTACCCACGGGCTGAGGGGATATTGGGATAACAATAGACTAGCGTGGGGGGGGGGGGAGGCAAAGTCTCATACAAAGGCACTGCACGGTGCTCCAGCTTCCCCTGGTAGCAACCCCGTAGTACAGAATCCATAGAAACAGAGCACTCGACACCTGTTAAGCAAAACATATATGAAAACAAGAAAGATGGGGGGGGGGGGGGAGAAGGAGAAAGGAACAAGGGGGAAGAAAGAACAAGCAAAACATATAGAACACAGTCATCTCCCCCGGGGAGCGACAACATTCCGACACCAGCAAGAATCACCTCTGACATCATGTTAACATCCACCTGAAGAGAATGCAGGGGATCTGCAGTCGCCTGGTTATGAGGAAACGTGTTGGGAATAGTGTCCGAAGGCATAACCACTCGAGGATGCTCACCGCTGAGCAACTCTCGGTTAACCCACATCCACCGGTCTTACCTATTCTTGGGAGGATTACTGTCCATAACAAGATTATCCCCCCCCGGACGGGCGGAGAAAGTATACTTGTCATTAGTGACAGCAAACCGGAAGAAGTACTTGAAGACGAAGTAATTGGGTATGATGCCGTTAGCACGCCATATCATCTCGAAAGCTACCACCTTGTGAATAGTGCCGGGAGTCAGCATCTGCACGCTACACCCACATTGGCAGAGTATTTCCTCCTAAAAGTCAGTCAACGGGAGACGGAGACAAGCGTCGAAAATCTTCAGGTAAACACCCACCTTCCCGAGAGGAGGATGAGTAATCAAAGAACCGGAGACAGGAAATTCCACCCCATCATCCGGAGTAAGACCATACGCCTCTTGAAGTGTGACAAACTCAGAAGAGCTAGGGGTTGAACCTTGAGCGATAGCCACGACGGAAAATAGAGACCAAAAAGAAAGAGGGTAAAAAGGCAGGGTGAGAAATGAAAGAGAAAATCGTTTGAAGAGCAATAAAAAGAAAAAAGGCGGGGTCTGCGAAAATCTCTGACACATGACGTAACTGCCGTACGCACGTCTAAACGTCACATCGCCGGAAATGAAGCGACAGCCGAGTGAAACAACGACACCTGTACCCGTAGCTAAGTCCAGAACATTGTAGCTAGATAGCATACGCTATGACTATTGGACTGGGGGAATTGATGACGTGCCCCTTAGAGTAGGCCCGAGACAGGTGAGCCTCGACAAGGCGCCTTCGGTAGGAGCCAACTTAGCAACCCTAGCCTCCCGAGGGGACCGCACAGAAGGCTCACCCTCGCCAAAATATTTTCTTTTAGCTACAACCTAACAACGACAGCTCCAAGCGACAAAACGAACAGACAGAGCACAATTGCCTGGACCAATCACCGAGCTGAACACGAATGTGGAGCATGACTCCCCAATAAGAACGACGGATCCTGACGGGATTGCAGTACCGGTCCCTAGTACGGACTGATGAAGATCTCCACTATAAAAGAGTCTCACCTTGGCCCTGGTAAAGTAAGTCTTTCCCTCTCCAGTCTTATATCTTGTGACATCCCCAAAATCTCGGTCAGAAAAGACCGATTTCATTTATGCTTTTTAAAATAATTTTCAGAGTAAATCCTTTTAATTTTTAAAAGAGATGCGGAATTTGTTCCCAAAAACAAAACATGATAAAATAGATATTTATCAAACATTTCATAAAGAAATATGATTTCATTTCATAATCAAAGTCGGGATGTCATGTTCCGATACAGATCATAAAGCATAAACGATAGCATTACAAGTGATTCAACAAATATATACATATACAGACTTGTAAACAAAACAACTTGATGATTCGCCCATCTTAAGCTCTTGCGCCACTTCCTATAATACAAATAAACTGAGTGGGTCAGGCTTGGGAGCCTGGTGAGCATATAGGGTTTTCAACCCGCAATAAATATTTAATTTCAACAATCAACAAATAAACCCGATTACCCATTCCCGTCATCCTCACTTTACGTCCCTAAAAATAACTTCTATTACAAGGAACCTAATTCTGGATTTTCATCGGGACGGACATTACTGTAGAGGGGCTTCCTCAACAATAAGTGTCCTAAAGGCAACCATGTGGGGGATAGAGTACACCGGTGAACACGTCGTTCACAACACCTACAGGTAATGAGCCTGCTAGTGCTCCACAGGACAGTCTAGAATAGTCTGTGGTTGTCATCCATACTCTGCTGAATGACTAGAATAACACCAATAACACCGAGGCCTCTCATCTGTTTATTACACACCAATTATCTACCCATGTTCTACCCAACATATTAGTAGATAAAAATATACATTTTTTTATACATTATTTAAAAACCTGTATAACATGCTTTAATCAATACATATTCCACATAACAGATGAGGCATACACACATAACACGTATTTCATAGAGAATACATCAGATCTATATGATAGAAGAGAGTGAATATACACTCACACGTATAACAACCAAATATATACACATAACACGTATTTTATATAAAATACTTCATAATATTGCGTTGGAATGGAAATAACTACACACTCACTTGATCAAAAGATGATCGGGCAGCACTACGGCTTGCAGAAGAGGTGTTTCTCCGTAGATCTGGAAGATCTTCACAAAACCGGGCTCCTCGCGGGCAACGTTTCGGCTCGGGAATAACGCTCTTCGGGATCCTCGAGGCTTCGGATCTTACTTCGGGGCTCGAGAATATTACCGGGGCTTCGAGGTACAAACGACACGTAAAACGAGGCAAAAGACTAGAGAGAAGGATGGAATTTGTAAAAGAACTAAGGCTGCCTTCGGATCCCCTTTTATAGGAGCTGGACCCTCGCACGTACGCTGGGCGTACGAGGCTACGCGGGGCGTACGCCTCGGATCATCAGCGCTTGCGTCATCGGAGGTACTCGAGTGCTGGCTTCGTCACCCTTCGCTGTACGCTGGGCGTACAGCAGTACGCGGGGCGTACTTCGGATAGGTCGGCTGACTCCCCTCCGGATAATATCGAAATTTTAAATTAAAATTAAATATTAAATATTTAATAAACTTCGAAAATTCATATCTCTCTCATACGAACTCCGTTTTTAACGTTCTACAACTTTCGTTTAGACTCCGTCGACTAATTTTGAATTTATTTTTATTATTTATTTTTAGGAGGTCGGGACAGAGAAACTTCGTTATAAATTCATAACTTCTTCGTCCGACGTTAGTTCTCGCCTAACTTTTCATCGTTTCGCTACTAACAACGAGATCTTCAATTCTCGTTTAGATTGCTTCGGCTAAAAACCGCTCGATCTCAAATCGAGTATTCGGGCTGCATACTGCCACGTCGAAACTTCAGAAAATCATAACTTCCTCATACGAAGTCAGATTTGGGCGTTCTATATATATATATATATATATATATATATATATATATATATATATATATATATATATATATATATATATATATATATATATTCGGAAACCTCGTTTCAACTACTACAACATTATTCAAATATATTAAGTTTATTTTACACTTAAATTTTGATGCTCATTTTATTCTTAATTTAATTAAATTATAATAATTAAGAAAACACACATAATCCACATAATTCACAAATAATACATTTTTTATTATTTCAAATTGAGTTACAAGGTTAATCTAGACTATTATATTGCTAAAAATGGCAAGCTCAGAAACACGGGCGTTACATATCTCCACACTCTAACCTTCAACCTACTAACTTGACCATCGTAACATCTTTCCGGGACCTCCTCCCAGAGAGCGGCTGACATGCTTCTTCTTTGTGTGACCTCTCAGGCTTAAGGACCGGCAAGTTCTATTCAGGACAAGTGGTTCGGAGCCAGGTCGCATCATACTTATTAATGAGAGTTTAATGTCCTAACAAACCCGTTCGGCTAACGATCCTCCACTAGTCAAGAGAGCGGTGGGTAAAAATGGATACCTAATCACGGTCATTTTATAAGCCGCTTCCTTAAACTCCCCTTATAGACCAACTTCGTGAATGAGACATACTAACGTTAATACCGACCTTTTCTTATATATATATAAAGATGTATTTTTAACATTTAAAATACTAGTGTTCTAGTTTAAGATTTCAATTAAACTATTAGTTAAATTTTAAATTCCGAAACCAATGGGTGTATTTTAAAACTTTTCAAAAATATTAGGCTAAATTTTTAATAACTAAATTAACCATTAATTTTATCTTTATCAAAAGTTAAACCAAATCATTAAATTTGAAAAGGATATACAATTACTTTTAATAAAAATTCAATTTTAAGTAGAAAAACAAATTAAGGCAATAATCCTAATCAAGCCATGATTATCAAAATCGAAAAAAATCAGGGATCTGACAGGCCAAATCGTCGTGTCTGTGCAATGCACTCGTCGTCTTGGGCCAACTCGTCGAGTTCTATGAACATAATGACGATTCCGCTCCCTTCTCCTTTGAATGATTCACAATTGCATCAAGTTCAACTAAAAAACATCCTAGGCTTTGATACCACTGATGGGTTATGAACATATCTACAAATCCTATGTGTTCATGCAACCCTATAATTAAGGATCTAGGTTTTCACTTCTTGCACATGCAAACTTGAATACAAAAGATAAAACCCTAGGAAGGTAGTATATAATTTGAAATCTATACAAAATAGGGTTTATATGTGTACCTTTTTATGTAGTAATAACAAGAAAACCTTGTAGATCTTTAACTCTTGAAAGTAAGTGCCTCAAATATGACAACTCTAATGGCTTACAAATACTCTTTGCAAGAGGATGAGAAGGAGAGGTAAGGAGGCACACAAGAATTTTGGATCTTCTAGGGTTAAGTGAAGTTGCCGAAAATCCAAGGAGTTACCCTCCTTATCTACTCGTGGTTTCTTAGTCCCAAAGCTAGGGTTTTGGAATGCATGTGTTTCTAGGCTAGGCATTAATTTTGATTTAATAGTCCAGGTTAACCTCTGTAACTAATTTTGAAATAATAGAAATGTATTATTTGAGTATTATGTGTTTTATGCTTAATTGTTGTGATTTAAATGAATTAAGGATAAAATAAGAGTTAAAATGATATGTTAGATAAGCCCTATATATATGAAGGAAGTTGTAGTGGTCGTCACAAGGGTTGCGAATTATAAAGAATGCCGAAATCCGAGTTATAACGAAAAAGTTATGACATGTCGAAGTTTCGCGACAGAACCGGTACGACACTGCGTAATGTAAATAGTGAATTTATGATAGAACAATATTTAGCCTTAGTGATTTAAACAAAAGTCATAGAATACGTTAAACCAAGAACATACATAAACAGAATGTCTAAATCTGACTTCGTAAGAGGAAGTTATGTTTTTTCGAAGTTTCGACTTAGCAGTATGCATCCCAAAGTTCGAATATGAGATAGAGTGATTTCTAGCCGAAACAAGCTAAACGAGAATCGAAGATCTCATCGATAGTAATGCAACGATAAAAAGACAGACACAAACGAACGTTAGATGAAGGAGTATGAATTTCTAACAAAGTTTTCCTGTACCGACCTACTAAAAACAATATAATAAAAGTTAAAGTCAAAAATTAGCCGACGGAGTCTAAACGAGAGTTGTAGAGTATAATCTCACATACACGTGCATATAAAGAACGTCGAAAACAAAGCTCTTATGCGAAAAATATGAATTTATGAAGTTCGGGGCACGAACTTCAACCCCTGTGTCAGAGCTCACGACGTGAATAAAGAGTTCACAACATGAGAATGTGATGGATGTCTTCTAGGGAAAGTGGCCTGATGACGAACGCCATGACATCGACCTCACGACATGAGCATTAGTGGCTTACGATGTGAGCATAGAATTTCAGCCTCCTATAAATAGAAAGCGAGGCCAACCGAGTTTTGTTGCTCAATTTATGTACTCTCACCCATATTACCTCATTTTACGTGTAAGTTATACCCATGAAGCCCCGGTATCATCCCGACACCTGAAGCAAGTCCCGAAGCACCGAAGATCCTGAGAAGAAAAGAGTTTCCGAGCCAAAGCTCTGCTCGCGAGAAGCCCAGTGTGTGAAAATATCCGATATTCATCGAAGAGTTACCACTTTAAGAGCCGTAGTGCTGTTCAAGCATCGTCTTA